GTGAGCTATGTTAAATATGTAGGGGTTAGAGTAAGACCATTACATTGAGAATCCGAAGAACCAAGTTCATGTCCCAGTTTTCCCATTTACAAGCTGTAACCTTAGGCACATCACTTAATATGTCCAAAATTCTTTACTCATCATGGGAGGTAAAGAAGAAGTAACAGAAAATTCAAATGGATAATTTCTGCAGTCCTTTCCCAGCTCTAACATTCAATGATTCTTTGATCTATTAAGCTCTTACGAAAATTCATAAATTCAGACTAGATATGCAAAACCTAGTAACAAATGAACACAGTAGCCCAGTATTCCATAAACCTGAGAACATAAACTACCTGAGGGAGGGCTCCAATTCAACAAGAAGACCCTCTGGGAAATTTTGAAATGCAGACTGGCTGAAAATGTCACATGAATCCCTTACATCAATATTTCACAATAAGCTTCAAATGGAAATGACATCTAAATACAAAGAGCCACATAAAATAAATAAATAAAAGAGCCACATTGAGAGGAGGTGTCTTACACAACTGTTGCTTATCCTTCATTTCAAAGAGGACCAATGACATCATCTGATGATGTCTCAGATTGGATTTAAGTGAAGCAGAGTTACCCAAAGTTGTCAGCCTCACTCTCCATTCCAGAGTCACTGAAGTCAAGTGGCAAGACAAAAGTCAGGACAACTGGTGATGACTCGAGATACAGTAGATAATCTTACACAGCTACTATCTGGTTGAAGGAAAAAATTAAAGACCAAACAAAGGATAGAGGGTAAAACAAAGATCAAATGGAAAAGTTGGAATAAATAAAATTTGAAAAACTTTTACATAAAGAAAATCAATTCCATAGAATAAGAAGAGAAGCTAACATAAGAAAAACAATTGTATCATGAATCTCTGACATCCTGACTGTGGTACATTAGTAAATGTTTAACAACTAGCTCTTCTTTTTTAAAAATAAATGCATGCCTGACACATTTTAAAGTTTAATCTGTATTATTAACATTTTCTTCATCACTTTCTTAAGACTAGCTAATCAACAAAACAATAGATCAAGCCCTGATTTTTAGCATTTGCCAATTTCTGAGGTGAAAATGCTCGCTTGGAAATTTTAACAATCAGTTCTCAAGAGTTGGTTTGAGATGGCTCCAACACATTCTGTGGCCATAATGTATAGAACTAACTACACTGTGATATATTAATGTAATGGAATATTATTACGCATGAGAAGTGATGAATATGAGTTATTCAGGGAAATATGGGAAAGCTTATAGGAACTGATGCAGAGCAAAGGAAGCAAAATCCAGAGAACAAAACCTGCATTGACTATAGTAATGTAAATGATGGCAATGCTAAACAATCAAATTCAAGTCAAATGCAATGACCAATGTTAGTCCTAGATAATGTATGATACAACATATCTCCTTTCTCTTGAGAGAGAATCAGAGGATTTCAGATGTACAATGCTCATAGTGAACGTATCAGACAATTGTACTTGCTTCTGTTCTTGTTGGCATTGTAGAAAGAAGAGAGGAAGAAATGGGGAAGATTCATTAAGTGATATAATATAAAAAGTATGTCAAACATTTTGAGAAGAAATGCATACATCTAATCCAAAAAAAATCATAATTTGATGTATTATAGAAAAACATTACAAAAGCAGAAAAGGGCAGTTAAATCTTGATATTTCAGCGCCAAACTGGACAGCTGTAAAGTTTGACCCTCTGAAAAGGCCAATTATGTATTACTTCAGCTGACATTCTTAAAATGCTAAAATATTAGACCAATTAAATTAACAATCAAATTTTCTTTTTTATTTAATTCATTATTTCCCATCTCCTGAATTTGTGTTTTGTGTGAAGCTGGGATGTGCCAGGTGCAATCCCATCATTCTGTAAGATGACATTAGTAAATGGCATGATACATTCTCCTGATGAATTCAAAGAGAATATAAATAGAACTATAAATCTGACCTTCTACACTCTCCTAAGATAATAAAGTTCTTTCATATTCTTACTAACCTCATTTCATTCTCACTTCATTCAGACCAAGAGAACCACCTCAGTTTCAAAGTCTCAAATTGATCTTGCCTATAACTTGCTTGTTTATAGCTGTTTGCATAACTGTAAGTTCCTCAAAGGCAGTGACTGTCTTTTGCTTTTCTTTTTATCCCTAGTGTTTAGCACAGTGCCTGGCTCATAATAAGTACTTACTGAATGTTTGTTGACTGACTCCACCAGTGAGAATGAAATGTACCCATCCACCACATTAAGATTAATAAGTAGTTTTATTGAAAGTAAGGGATTTTTGGCATAAAGATTAACATTCCCAGCTATCAAAAAACATAAAGAATCAAAGCTACCAACTTGTTGAGTAGAAAATAACTTTATAAAGATTTAGAAAATGGGTACCATTCCAATGATTCAAGGGAAAAGGTCATTAAAATCTCATTTCAGTGGCAAAACTTTAGCTGACAACAAAGGAAAAGCCAGTGCCTTCCCCTATTCAGATTATCTACTTGTATTTACTTGGCATATATTTTTGTTATCATATCCCCAGGGCTGAACAGGTGGTTAATAATTAATTGCTTGTTGATTAATTGAATTACAACCACTCCCCCAATGTGTTCTAGTTCCAATTCTCATACCACAATAATCATTGATATTTGCATAGACTTTGGAAAATATCAAGTACTTTCCATGCATCATCTGGTTTGAGACCCACAACAGTTTGTGAGGCAGGTGCTGATAAATTTACATTTACCTAAAAGACTATTTTACAAAGAACTCCAGGGTGTCTCTGAAGAACTTTGGAATTGATTGTGAGACCTGGGAAACACTGATACAGGACCACCCAGCTTGGCATGCCTAATCAAAGGTGCTGAGCTCTATGAGCAAAGAAGAATTGCAGCAGCTGAAAAGAAACGTGAGATGTGCAAAGTTAGAGACAACTTCGATCCAAATTTTCATACGGATGATTTGTAGTATCTGACCTGTGTAGAGCATTCCAAGCTCATATTAGTCTGATCAGCCACAGTCAGACATACTGTACCATGACCCCAACATAGCGATGTCATTTTGGTCCCCAAGAATGAAGGACAAACAATCACCACTGCAGGTATTATTACCCAGTTTATCCTTTAGGAAACAAAGGATCGGAGACACTAAGTAACTTGGTCACACAGCTATTAAGGCTCAAAGGCAGGATTCCAACCCAGGTCTCTCCTAATTCCAAAACTGGTATACTTGCCACCACACCAGTTACACCCCCACCCCATCGCTATGAAACAATTCCTGGTATGAGTATATCATAGGGGAAGATCAATTCCTTAACACAAATAGTTTTCATTTATACTAAGAATAGTAGTTAAAGAAAGAAATCTTGGCAACCTCTAACATTCTCTAGCGGTGATTTTATTGGTGAAGGCTAATCCCAGTAGGGAAACTCTCCTTACCAATGCAGAACTACAGCCATTATACAATTTAAAGTCTTACAGTTGCGTGAGGTCACTGAAACTTTATGTGACTTGCCTAGGGTCACAGAGCAAGAGACAGGATTGAAACCCAGGTATTCATGACTATATGAGTAACTTTCTACCCAGCATGTCTTACTGCCTTACTATTCAATGAAGTATAAGAAATATTTGTTGAATGTTTACTATGTGCTGAGCACTGTCCTAGGTACTAGGGATAGGGATAGAACTGGACCTGTTATTTGACTGGAATATGGAATTCTGAATGAAAAAACTCCTTCAGTCATTGAAAACTGGCAACTTCACCACTTAGAGACTTAGGGAGTTGTCTAGAGAACTTAGGGATTCACTGACTTGTCAAGGGTTACACAAACAATATGTGTTAAAAAGAGACTTGAACTCACGTCTTCCTGGCTTCAAGGCTAGCTCTCGATCCACTATACCATGACAAATGAAAAATAGTCTGGGTCCTCAAGTGGCTTATATTCTACAGGTTAAAAAAAAAACAAGATGTATGAAGGTAAGTACAAGTGAAACAAATCTGTTATATTGGGGTGGAAGAACAGCATGGTTTTTCTGAAGGCCAGGCCAATACCCCTTTCTAAAGATAGAAGAAAAGGTTTAATATTCATAACCGAGAGAATGTATCAGAAAATTCAGCAATCTGAATTTCTTCTTGTTCAATTTTGAAGGATTATCACTTGTTGATTAAAGATTCTATGCTATGATAGCAAATGTTAGTTTGTGAAAACATGAATTTGACCAAGGTAAAATTCAAATATATGGGAATCCTAGCACATTATCATCTCTTGAATGGCTCTGATGGCTCTAATGAAAATAGATGCAGTAACTTTGAACCAAGAAATGATTACCATGGATGAGCTCTAGTTAAATAGGACACTAATGGATGAATCTGTTAACTATTCTTCCCTGCTGAGGATATTGGCTTCCCTGCAATCTTTTAACCAATACGTATAACACATGGTTTAAGAAAATTATAAAGGGAAAGTATCCAGAGTACTGGATCAGGTCGTTATATGAATTGCAAAATAAAAAGAGAAGAAAAATACCCCTATTTCTTCCAGGGGAAAAAATAAACACTTCTGTAAATGAGCTTATGATTAAAATAACAGAACAATCAACTTCTGAATGCAAAAATAGTTTCCCACACAAATGATAGGACTTGGGTACTCAATTTTCACTTAGTAAAGTAGAATTCATTTTCAGGAATGATCATATAATAGTAAAAAAACAGGCTTAGGTCTTATTGAATTCAGGGCTCCATTCAACTCCTAAGCACACATGGAAAAACTGAATATAATTAACTTACCATGTTCATAAAAACAACAACAACAACAACAACAACCCAAACTCACCAGTTCCCTTTGTTTAATTTGTTAAAATGCTAAAATCACAAATAACACAGTTTCCTGGATTTGTCTGTTTTTCAAAATGCAAAACAAACAGTTTTTGAATTTTGGTCTAATATTAATTTATAAACTGCCTTTCTTGTCACCTCTTTCCCTGTGCAGGACACAGATAAAGTCAATGGAAGTGCTGCAGACACAAGCATGACAATCCAATTCTGTGCACAAAAAAATGAAGGAAAAAACACCATCTGAAAGTCTCATAAGGTTAGCTTGGGAGACAAAGCATCTGCCAGCACTGAAGGCTGGCACATTTGTTTATCCTTTACCAAACAGAACTGCTTTTGTATCATTTTTAAGTTTAGTCCTTAAAATAATCTATACTTCAAAAGAAGAGTAAACAGTACATAAGTTTAAGAAGATTCTGTTCTGTGCCTCATAATTTGGTTCATGTATAATAGCCATCTGTAAGAACTAGTCACATCTAATATTTATGTAAACAATAATTTCCTCTGGGTTGCCAAATGTGGAAGGCAAGTGGGAGTTTGCAATCATGTCTCTTGCTATTCTTTTCCATGCAAATTTCCTGACTAGACAACTGTTGAGAATCAAAAAGTATTTGAAGCCCATTTAGAGGAGGTTAAAGGAAAACAATTTAACATGCAGAAAATATACCCACAGCTAAAGCCGAATCTAGAAGGGCAAGTTAAGTGGAGAATTGAAAAGTTTCTGGAAAATTCAGGATGAGGATTATGTTGCTGAAAAATAAAATTTAGCTCTGGTGGCCTATATTTTTTTAAGTGGTGACTGCTTATATTTGCTAAATTCACCGACTGCTGCAGCTCTTTACTTTTCGTTGCTTCCTCTGTGAACATTTCGTACAACATAGGGAGCAATTTGAATATAATCTGTCCCTAGAAATGTTGTACAATTGACCACTGGAAAGCAGACTGTATCTTCCCATATCAAGAAGAACTCTCTCCTAAGGTACTTTAAAAGGGATTACAAATCATGTTTATCATGCCAACCCTGTAAGGGACCATTTTGTAGATGAAATATCTGAGGCACGTAGAGGTAATGGCACAGACACATGACTGGAAAAATACTAAAATTGAAAGTTGCAATCCTGACCAAATAAATGTTCAGCACAAACTAAGATTATGTATACACACATCATCACCATCATCATCATCATCATCATCATCATCATCATCATCATCATCATCATCATCATTACTTTCACAAAACCAAATATAAAACTTCTATAATTGTTTCAGAATAATAATATCATGTCTAAAATGTGATCAAATGGATGTTAATGTTCCTTCAACATCCAAAGGATCATAATGAGAGAGGAAGCATGTTACAGCAGAAGAAGTGATGGTATTAGAATCAGAAGATCTGAGTTTGAGACCTTACTCAGATACTGGATGACTATGGACATGTAACCTCACTATACCCTCAAGTAGCATTATATATGAAATAAAGTCAATAAATACTTGCACATCTTACCTCTTCCAGCTAGAGTAGGGAAAGAATTTTGTAAGGTAGGTATCCTATAAAAAGACTGACCATGTTTTTACAGAGTACATCAAATATATGACTCTCTTGTAACAGAAATGTATTCAAAAATGAATGAATTTTCTGGTGCTAATAAACAAATATTTAGCCAAAAATAATTTTTGTTTTGTAATCTAAGATATATCTCAGTGGGTTTTTTTATATGAATCAGATCTCGTTAAGAAGCTATCTAAAAACATCAGAAGTCATGCTTCAAAAATAGTTTACAATTATTCCTTTAATCTTGAAATTAGAACTCTTCAAAACAGTAGATACTTAATGAAAGATGGCCAATAAGGGAGACAATAGTTTTTCTTCCACTGGTTCTTGAGCTTGGTGTACAGTCCTTGGTGTAGAGTGCCAGATTTTGAGTTGGGAGGGTCTGGGTTTGACTTCCATCACTTTCATTTACTAGCTGTGTGACTGTGGGCAAGTTGCTGAATTAATGTCTCTCAGCCTCATTTTCCTCATCTGTAAAGGACCTGCCCCCAGGGTTATTGTGAAGCTCAAATGAGACAAGGTAGGTTAAGGACTTTGCAAATTTTAAAGCAGTCTAGAGATGCCAGCTACCAGTAATCTATGATTCACTCCAGTGGAATAAATGTATTGGTCCCATTAAAAAGGTTTCTTTCTTTTTAAGTGGCTGACCTAACATTTCTTTTCTCTACCTTTTCCTACCTCTTTAGTTTATTCAAAACTAAACATTACACTTGTCCATGTCAAGCCAACTGCAATGCCAACAGGAAAGCAAAGGTGCTGGGAAGGGACTTGTTTTACCCGCTCAGGACCATTTTGTTAACAAGCTATCAAAACACTTCAAATTTTCTTGTAGCCTCATAAGTTCCTTTTACAGCCTTAAATAATCCCTCTCACAGAGCTGCCAAAATTGGAATAGGACAACAAGCATTCCAATTCTTGCATGTAGACACAAAGGGAAAAAATTAAACAAGTGGTCAGTGATGGGAGAACTGGGGTAGATGTTTTGAATGATAGGGAGGCAAAATGCATGGGAGAAAAGGCAGGACCTAAATCTATTTGTCAGTTTTATATGGAGGTTTCAATTATCAAGCTAAAAATGAGATCTACTTTCTATACCCACCTCAGCATCTTGGCTCCCTCCCTCTCGAGGTGCCCCAAACTAAACACTCTAGAAGTGGGATTTCACTAGTGGCAAGTATAATGGTCCAAAAGAGGACATGGGACCCAAAGTTCCATGGGGCTTTAGAGATCACCTAGTCCTCATTCTGGCCATTATACATCTAGTGATTAAACCTTATTTTTTATGCCTATGATATCTGATAGCCACTACTTAGACCTCTTTTTACCTTAACAGCGCTTACGATATTTGACAAACATTTTTTAGGTACTTAGCATGAACAAGGCTCAGCACAGTGCCTGGCACACAATAGCCACTCAGTAAACACTCTTGGACTTGACCAGGCTGAGGATACAAAAACAAAACAATATCTGCCCTCAAGGAGCTTACATACTAATGGAGGGAGGGGATTGATGGTGGGGAAGGGATACACAGAAACCCAAGGGTAGTTTAAGATAGCTGGTGGGGTAGCTGCATCCTTTGCTTCTCCCAAGAAATCTGGCCATTTGAGAGTTTCCTATTTAAATTAATTATTCTTGAAGACTAGATGCTAAGATCAGTTGTTTCTCATCTGACGTTCAAAAGTCTGATTATGAGGGGAGGAAGAATAATAACCCTTACAGAAAAGAGATAGATGCTTTGTAGGGAATTGGAAGAGCACTTAATGCCAGCCACCACCACCACCCGCAAAAAAGAGAAAAACTTTCAAAGTGTCACATTAGAACTGGAAGGGACCTTTGGGATTATTATGGAACTCCTTGATTCTACGGACAACAAAACTGAGATCACAAGGCTCACAGAGCAAAGTGCATTCAATTCCTTGAAATCAATTTCAAGCCAAGGTGGAATCAAATGGAGCCCAAATCCCACAGTCTTCATAGACTGACTAAGCCTGCTTGTTATACCTAGTAACAGTTCTTGAGAACACCTTGTCCAATTCCCTGATTTAACAGAGGAGAAAACAATGACCAACAGTTATATCCCAGCAGGGACTAGATCCTTGTTCTGACTACCAGGAGTACTCTGAAACTGGTCCTCCTTCAAGGACATGGTGGACACAGGACTATAGGAACATAGTGGGCCCAGCCCTTCCAGAACAGATGTCAGGCCCTGGGCTCATGACCAGTGGGGCTAGGAAGGAGGTGACCCTTTGATCTTTCCAGGTATATCCTAGCCCCCAACATGCCCACTCCAATTAGGAAAGTTTAAGCCTCTTGGGAGGATAAGACTTTAAAACAAAAGAAAATTCCCAGAGATCAGGAAAGCAAAGGCATTCCCAGAAGGGTGAGGTCTTCCAGCAGAGATTCAGGGATTTTGAGGTGGTATCTCTCCCCAGCCTCGCTCAACTTAAGTGTCCCCACCTCTTCCTATCCTATGGCAGACCAGACTGAAAAACATCAGAGAAACCCTAGAGCCCATACAGAAGATTAGTGAAGTGTCCTTGAAGTGTCCCACCTTTCCCCTTATACAAAGGTTGATCATTCTTTCAACCAGAATCTCCAGCCCAACTCTTAGGCTCTGGGGGCTTAGGAAAGTTCAAGAAGCAGAGGATGACAAAACCTGAGGGAAAGATGAAGTTCCTAAAAATGTCCCCTCCAAGGAAAGGAGGGTCTTCTAGTGTTGATGGAGGTGTGCTATCTTTCTTCTTCCTTCCTGCTGCCCCATTAACTCTCCTCCCCCTTCCTCTTCCCCGTCACTCCATACCTGTAGGCTGTCTTCTCTTTTTGCAGGCCAATCCTGAATGGGAAGGAGAGGAACCCTTCCCACCCCAACACTGGTGTCAGAGCTATCCCATCTCACTAGGCTGTAAGATGATCTGTGAGGTAACCCTTGAGCCATCATTATCAGTGCTGAGGAACAGGCTCATGTGGCTATACTTGAGTTTCTCTTATCACCACTAGGCTGGGACTAGGCTTCAGTCCCATCAGCCTCTGGGAGATAAACTGCTTTCCTCATCAGGAACCCACTCCCTCCTGCACTCTTCCCCTCTCATCATCCTCAGCTGTACCCCAGCCCAAACACCAGAGTTTCTCTTCCCATTACCATCACCATGGCTATCAGGCTTCATCTCAATGATTGTAAGTCACCCTTTAAATCTCATACCCTTGGGCAAATTTCTAGGCTTTGGGCAATTTCGTACACTGGAACAAAATCCCAGGTTACAGTACTCTACTTACAATTCTGGAGAGAAATCACATACACAGAAATCACAGACACCAAATATATAATAATTTCAAGGAGATCAGGAAAAACCTCACATAAGAAGAGGTGTCAAGGAAAAAGATAGGATGTTAGACCATATCTCCACCATCTTCTATTATATAGTTGTGTGTATGTGTGTTAATGCTAAATGCAAGAGTTAACATTTATTAATCCATCAGCAAGCATTTATTAGGTGCCCACTAAATGCTAGGCACTGTTTAGAGGATAAAAAGGGAAAAAAATAGTCACCATCCTCAACGAGTTTACATTCTATCAGAAGGAAAAAAAATATTTAAACCACTTAATTTATTCTTGGTAATTTGAGCCCACTAAAATATTTTTAAATTGTGGTAGGGGAGGGGAGGGGAGTTGGTAGTCAGGAGAACCTGATCAATTGAAAACCCCAAATCCAGTTAATGGAATTATTGGGCATCAGAATTTAAATGGCAGAGCTTACATGTGAAATGGTTAGCTGATTGTTAACTCTTACACATGGAAGGGACCTCTTAGTCCAATCCCCTTACTTTATAGATGAAAAAGGGCCCAAGAGAAAAAGTGATTCACAGAGGGTCACCCAGCCAGTAAGTGGTAAAGATGGGATTTGAACCTAGGTCTTCTGACTGCAGTTCCAGTGTTCTCTCCACTAATGTCTTAAGCTACACATGCTCCCAAATCCAACAGCCTCTATGTCTGTCTTGGCTACTGGAGCTCTATGTATTTGTTTAACCTTAAAGAAAAAGGAAAAAATAAGCTATTCCTAACTGGAAGAAGCATTTCCATAAAGACTATCTATTCTTTTCATGTTGCCAAAGGGCAAAAATACATATTTCATTACCTTAATACCTTGACTTTAATCACCAAAGATACTTATTTCATTGTGTCTACAGGGATCCAACTGAGCTATACCAACCTCCTCTTTCGTACAAAATCTCTACTATATGCATCAGCTTGAAATTTGACATTAAACAATTTATTTTGGCTTCAATTTTAAGAAAATAGATTGCTTTGATTTATATCAGAAATAAACATTAGAAATCATTATGAACCAATTTTTTCTCTTTTTTTCTTTCTTTATTTTGCATATAGCACTTAAGCAAGGGCTATTTACAACATCTACAAACACACCAAAGCTCTAGAGGTTTCTTTCATAGAGAAGATTGTTTTGCAGATGTGGAAAAACTGGAAACATCAATGGGAAGAATTCTCAATCTAGCCAATGGTATCACAAATCAAAAGCAGGAAAAGCTGCTTTCCTGAACTCCCAGGCCTATTATGCATCAGAGCCTAATGTTGAAACTGAACTACACATTCAAGAGGAAATGTTTTGCAAACAGAACATGGCAGATGTGAGACTCATTCAGAAAAGGTGGTAAGAGATAGCACACATATATTTTCTTGAAATGCATCTGATTTGACAAGCTCTTCATCTTTAGAAGAAAGATTAGCATAAGTGAAAAACTTTCCTTCTGACAATAAAAGTCATTCTTGAAGTATCTCCTCAACTTTACTGTAAATGAGGAATTCCCAGTGATGGTTAAGGTTGGAAATTACTGATTAGATCCAAGGGTGCCCAGGAAAAAAAACAATACTCAATTTACTATGAAAGTAGCTTTGGAGTTTTATTATGTAAGATAAGAGTATTAAGTATAATCAGTAAGTCTGCACTGAAAACTCCCAAGATACCTTCTTCCTTTCCTTCTTTCTTTTTTCCTTCTTCCTCTGTCTTTCCTTTCTTTTTCCCTTCTTCCTTCTCTGCCTCCTTTCCTTCTTCCCTCCCTTCCTTCATCTCTTCTTTTTTCTTTCTTTCCTTTCTTTCCTACTTAGATCAGAGGCGTCTAGACATGTGATTTTATTGATGTAGAGAACTCCCATTGTGCACCCTCCATCCACCCATGCAGATCTACAGTTACAGTATTTTCTTAGCTTCTAACATTATGCCTGACTGATCAGAGTTGCCTATGATACTGAGAGATGTAATGACTCGTCCACTGTCAAGCACCTAGTAAGGGCCAGGGCAGGCCTTGAAACTAGGTCTTCCTGACTCCAAGGGTGTTTCTCTACCCACAGTACAACACTGTCTCTCTGATCCTTTGTACATTTACAGTAACTGGAAAAGTGAATAACTTTGTAGATGGACTTAAGAAATTACCTCAATGGGAGAGTTGCAAAAGAAATGAAGGAAGGAAATTGTGATCAGTTTTCCGGGCCTGAAATGCTCTGTCTCCTCATCACCACCATATGTACTAGGATGCTTCCCAGATCACAAACTTTCCCCCCATATACACACCTCTTCTGAAAGTTCTCTTTCCTTCATCTAAACTCATAGCACTCCATATTCCTCTTATGTTTTGATCACATTCCAATTTTATTATATTTCATCCATGTATATATTATTACCTCTGCTAGATTATAAGTTCCTTCAAGGCAGATATTGGTTTTCTTTATCACATCTTCCCCAATAACTAGCATAGCTCATTATACAAGGCAGGCATATAAGAAATATTTATTGAATGTCTGATAAGTTGAGTTATATCAAGCTCTGCGCTCTTGGATTTCATGCTCCCAGGAACTTCATCATGGGGAAATCTTAACATCCTGCAAGATCCAATCAGTCATGGCGCCCACACTTCATCACTACCCTCTGCACCTCTTACTGGAGGAGTGGGGCCAAAAAACCCAACACTTCCATTTAAGGAGGAGGCTTAGGCCAGCCATCTCTTTATATCCCAACTGGTTATACACTCTTTTGACTTTGCCATCATGCCGGGGGTACCAGGTCTTCACACACACACACACACACACACACACACACACACACACACACTTTCAGCTTCCATTTATGTGATGTCTTTGTCTACTAGAATATAAGCTCCTTAAGGGCTGGTGCTGTCTTCCCTTTTCATAGTTATATTCCCCAACTTAGCATAGTACCTGACATGCATGGGCAGTTAATAAACGTTTATTGACCGATTGAATCAGGGCTTTCAGCACAGATACTGAATGGCAAACCTCAATCCTCGTTGTCATAAGCTTGTCTGCAAAACCAGACTCACTGAAGCAGCACATCTACAATAGTCACCTGGATGTCTAGGGCCCTGTCCCAGCTGGTCCTACAAGACTGTAAGCACTAGATAACTAAAGCTCAGGGAACATACAATTTTTCTTTCCTCCACTCACAAAGCTTCAATGCTTTCCATGACTTTTATCACCTTCCAGGATGTCCAAACCCCATCTCCTGCTTTAACCCCTTTAGTCTGGACAGTCCCACCTAGGTCATCTTCAGGGAACTTCTAGCTCAGCATGGTTAACACCAAAGTGTAGAAAACCAGCTAACCTGGATATCCATACTGCCTGACTCTTGGCTACTCACCATCTCACAGAAGGGGTGGGTTTGGCCTGTGCATTGGAATAACATTAAAATACTAAACAAGCAAGCCAAACTGTCTCCTCTCAACAGCCCAGCTTCAAGCCCAAACCCATGGGACTCTGATGATTCTGAAATGCTCTCACAAAATCACAGAAACTCAATGGAGACAGTCCTCAGTGGCTATCTACTGCATCCACACACAAAATGGAGCCAATTCAACAATGCAACCAATAAGTGGTCAGCTAGCCTGCCTAAAGACCTCCAATTAGTGGTCATTTGTTACCTCCTAATAAGGCAGTCCATTGCACTTCTGGGTAGCTCAAACTGCTAGGGAGTTTTCCCAGACAAACCTAAATTTGACTCTTTGCAAATTCCACCTATTACTCCAAGTCTGCCCTCTAGCACCAAATAAAATAAGTCTAATCCGTCTTCTGCATGACAGTCCTTCATATGGTTTATACAAGAGAGCTATCATATTGACTCTTGGTCCTCACTTCTACAGGCTAAATATAAATAGCCTCTTTTTCTCGAACCGATCTTCAGATGGTATGAATCTGAGGCCCTTGATCATCCTGGTTTCTCTCCACTGGGCACTCTCTGGCTTCTCAATGCCATTCCTTAAGTATGATGTCTAAAAGGAAACACAAGATTGAAGATTTAGAGTCAGAAGGCATTTGGAGGCAATCCAGTCCAAATCCCTCATTTTACAGAGATTGTCATTGTAGATGGAGTCTCAATAGGGCAGAACAAAACAGAACAAAGTTCTCCTGATACCAGTGCCTCCTGTGCTTCTGTTCATGCAGCTCAAGATCCACTCCAGTTTGCCTTCCTCTTGAACAAGCTGCACTTCAAGCCTAGGTGCCTATATCTTACTGCTCTTCTTGCTGGAATTATGCCATTTGGTCTATGCTTTGAAGTCCAGGGAAACTTGCTGGGTTGGCGTCGGGTAGACTCATCTTTCTGAGTTCAAACCCAGACTCAGACATTTACTAGCTGTATGGCCCTGGGCAAGTCACTTAACTCTGTTTGCCTCAGTTTCCTCATCTGTAAAATAAGCTGGAGAAAAAAATGGCAAACCACTCCTGTATCTATGCCAAGAAAACTCCAAATGGAGTGGCCAATAGTCAGACAAGACTGAAATGACTGAACAACGATGATCTGACTACAGGCTACTCCCTTCAATAACTCACCTGCCTGTTAGACTATCTTCTTTAAAACCTCCACCTTGAACTGGGGTATGCTGCCCTAAGCAGTTTGTTTCCTGATCTGATTGTGTTGTTCAGTCATCTTTTTCAATCATGTCCTCTTTCTGATCCCATTTCTTGACAGATACTGGAGTGGTTTGCCATTTTCTTCTCCAGCTCATTTTACAGATGATGAAACTGAGGCAAACAGGGTTAAGTGACTTGCCCAGGGTCACACAGCTAGTAAGTATCACAGACCAGATTTGAACTCAGGAAGGTGAGTCTTCCTGACTCCAGGCCCAGCATTCTATTCATTGTGCCACCTAGTTGATCTGATTGTGACCCTGTCTTCTCCTTGGATTGCTTCCTGGACTCAGAAGCCTACAGTACTAACCCTAAAGTCACAACCCTCTCTCCAGTGCAGACTATTCTATTAGATATGTGCTACTCCTGGCCCAACCACAGAACATGACATCAATCTCCCCTATTTCTTTCTTTTTTCTCTTTTCTTTTCCTTTTCTTTAAAAAAACTATCTCATCCAGGCTAGAAGTGCAGGGGCTTCTCACATGGTCATCCCACTCTGACACACAGCAGTGTTAACCTGCTGCATTTCTGCCGGGGTCAGTTCAACCACCCCAGAGGCAACTTGATGGTCACCAACTCAGTAGCTTACATTAGTAATGTCAAACTCAAGAGTGGATATCCAATCTGCTTAGCCCATTGTAGCTCAGAACTCCAGACATCAAAGATCTACCAATTTTTACAAGGCCTCCCTAGCAGAAAGGATTGCAGCATGTACTATCACACCTGGCTTCCCTTATTTCTTTCAAGAGTACCATTATTTCAAACAATGCTCCCCCCCTCCCTTCTTTCCCTCTGCTGTAATAGGATTTGGCTCAAGAAGGGCATAATATAATCAGTTAGGTATAGAAATCTCACTTGCCCTATAGGCAGTAGGAGGGAAAAGGGGAAAGAAAAGGGAGTGGGGAAAGAAAAGGGGGGGGGAAGAAGGGAGGGAAGCAGCAGTAAGACTAAAGGGGAAGAAAAGGGAAAGGGATAATAAAAGGGGGAAGGGACTGAAGGAGGTGGTGGTCAAAAGCAAAACACTAGTGAAGGGGAGAAAGGAAAAAGGAGAAAGAAAAGCATAAATGGGGGGAAAGGATGGAGAAAAAGACACAGATAGTAATCATAACTGTGAATGTGAATGGGATGAACTCTCTCACAGAATGGAAATGGATTGCAGAATGGATTAAAAAACATAATCCTACAATATGTTGTTTACAGGAAACACATTTGAAAAAGAGTGACATATACAGGGTAAAGGTAAAAGGCTGGAGCAGAATATATTATGCATCAGCTGAAGTGAAAAAAGCAGGGGTAGCAATCCTGACCTCAGACAAAGCAAAAGCAAAAATAGATCTAGTCAAAAGAGATAAGGAAGGAAACTACATCCTGCTAAAAGGCACCATAGACAATGAAATAATATCATTACTAAACATATATGCACCAAATGGTATAGCATCCAAATTCTGACAGGAGAAGTTCAGGGAGTTACAGGAAGAAATAGACAGCAAAACTATACT